CTGGGGAGGGAGAGGGGGGGGGTAGGTATTGGGTATCAGCCGTTAATGATTCAATAATTGTGATTGGAGAAATTAGAGATTAGATGACTGCGATTGGAGAAGTTGCAGATTGGATAATCGTAATTGGAAGCCTTTGAGAAGTTGGCGATTCTATAATTGTGATTAATTGGGGGAAAATGAACGAAAAGAACGAGTGTCTAAGTGAGAGTTTGAGAAGAGAGAGAAAGCTTTGTTTTTTTGAGTTATGATGAGTGATTGGTGATTAATAGGAGAGAATATTTAGATAAGAAAGTCTTAAAATATGAGGGAGATTTTATGTTCATAGTTTATAGCAGATGTGAAATATGAGGAAATTATACATGGAGACTATACGAGCATTAGTAATGAGTTATCAATATTTAATTAGGTTTGATTAATTAGGGAAAATGTGAACAAAACATAATTGGTATAAGAGCAAGAATCTTAAAAAAAAAAAAAAAAAAAAACAGAAGGCGCATTGATAATATTTTTTTATAGGCAATTAACCAAATGAGATAAGTAATTCATTAGCTGAATGGAAAACAATAAACAGAATAAATATGCGTCTAAGCAAGGGGCCCGGAAAAGGGGACAAATCTATTTACCGAAAAAAAATAGTCTACGATGTAATAAATGAACAAGAAGGAAATAATAACGGGTAACCAACAGAAGTAATAGATTAAGAATAAATATAACGGATTAACCAACAGAAGTAATAGATTAAGAATAAATATTTCGAGACACAAGTCGCTTTCTGTCCGGCACTTCTCTGGGTAAGGAAAGGAAGGTAAATAAGACTTATGAAAATGAAATCACTGAATGAACAGACTTATTAACATGAAATCACTGAATGAACATACTTATTAACATGAAATCACTGAATGAACATACTTATTAAAATGAAATCACTGAATGAACAGACTTATTAACATGAAATCACTGAATGAACATACTTATTAAAATGAAATCACTGAATGAACATATAAACTTTCTCATTAATCTACTGCCACTCTGGTCGTCTGGAACGCAAATTAATTATAACGAATGATTAAGGAGAGGTCTGATTAGTTGGCAAGAGAGAGAAAGAGGAACAAAATACACACGGGAAAATAACTATAAAATATAAGGATTGAGAAGGAGAGAATGGGAAAGGAATTTAATAGCATTTGCTGATTAATTTTATTAGAGATGTAATAAAAATGCCAATCAAGTTGATTGACGTTATAGTGAATTAAATCATCAATTGTTGAGGATCTCATGAAAACCGGATATTAACTTTTAATGGCAATTAACGGCAATTAATAAGAAAGGCGGCATTAATTAAGACACGTTTAATCCTCATCCGTATCTTATAGAGGGCGGAAATGAAAGAAACATAGAGATAAATGGAGTTAAAATCACATATGCAATTACAGTCTATGTCTAAACAATCAGATTTTATTAATTACTAGATTTTATTAATTACCATATGGAAGAATGATTTTGTGGGTTTAATGTAATTCTGCTATTCTCACGGCCTAGGTAATTATATGAATACATAATGATAAAGGAATAATGACACTTCATTAAGATATCATGAAGCCCACTAATAATAACAGAAGTGAGAGGTTGAAAGACAACGATGATAATAATGATAATGATAATGGCGAGGATTATAATAATAACTATAATAATAATAATAAGGATAGTTATAATGATAATAATAATAATAATAATAATAATAATAATAATAATGATAATATAATAAGGATAATGATACTTGTAATAATGATGATGATGATAATTATTTTGATAATAATAATGATGATGATTATAATGATAATCAATGATAATAACAATGCTGAAATAATGATAACACCAACACCACCACCACCAACAACAACATACTGTTATAATTTTCTTTTCATTTCTAATTTGTTTGTTTAATTTCAATAATAATAACAATAACAACAACAATAACGGTAATGATAATACAATGCTGAAATAATGATAATAGCAATAATAATAATGAAAATAATAAGAAATAATAGCAACAATAATAATAATAATAATAACACTGATACAATAATAATAGTAATAGTAATTAATAAATAATAGTAATAATAGTAATAATAATAATAATAATAATAATAATAATAATAATAATAATAATAATGATAATAATAATAATAATACAATAGTAATAGTAATTAATGCAATAATAATAGTGAACAATGAAACAATGAAATATCAAAACAAACAAAACGCTGCCATACCAGATCAACAGCAAAAATCCGGATAATGAATGAAATGAAATCTGTGTCCAGCGCCGACTAACATATGTTTTCGGTTTGATCGGAAAGGGTTAAATCCTTTCCCTCCTCCCCCCACACTCCCCCCACTCCCTCTCCCCTCCCTCATCTTCTCTCCGCCCCTCTGCCCCCCCCCCCTCCCTCCTTGATTGGCGGATCCTGATTGGCGGAGATCAGGACATGTATGGAAAATCGATGTGTTTTTTTTTCTTTCTTTTCTTTCTTTTTTTTTTTTTTTTTAGATGAATTGAGAGTTTGAAATGTTTGGACGAGAGGGAAAGAAAGACATGTATTATATATATTAATATATTTTCTACATATATCTGTACCTATTTACTTACTATCTACATATATAAATTTATCTAACTTTATCTGTATCTTAACTGTATCTATACCTATCTATCTATCAAAACATATCTATCTAGCTACCTATCTTCCTACATATACATACACATAGATACAATATATATACACATTATACTTAAACACTGCCTCACTCCATCACCCCCCCCCCCTACACCCCCTGCTAGCCCCTTCTCCCTCACCCTATTACTATCACCTCCCCCCACCCCCCCTCGGCAATGGCACCGTGGTTTGGGTGTTTTCCCGATAAGGCAGAGTGGCACCCACAATCTCCCCGAAGTATTGTGCATGTTCGAGCAGGCGGGCGAACCGAGGGGGGGAAGGGGGTGGGAGAGGGAGGGAGGGAGGGTGGGAGGGAGGGAGGGGGTGGGGAGGGAGGGAGTGGGAGGGAGGGAGGGGGAAGGGGTAGGGAGGGAGGGAGGGAGGGAAGGAGGGAGGGGGAAGGGGGAAGGGGTAGGGAGGGAGGGAGGGAGGGAGGGAGGGAGGGGGAGGGAGTGGGAAGGAGGGAGGGGGAAGGGGTAGGGAGGGAGGGAGGGATGGAGGGGGAAGGGGGGCAGGGTTGGAAGGTGAGAGAGGGGGATGGAAGGAGGGAGAAAGGACAGAAAAGAGGAAGGAAGAGAGGTAGAGAAGGAGGAAGGATGGGAGGGGGAAAGGAGAGACAGGAGGGAGGTAGAAAGTAGAAGGTAGAAATAGGAGGGAAGGGAGGGAAGGAGGAAGGGTGGGAGGGATGGAGGGAGGGAGGGAGTGAGGAAGAGAGGGACAAAGGGAGGAGAGGGAGGGAGGGAGGGAGAGAGGGTGGGAGGGAGGGAGGGAGTGAGGAAGAGAGGGACAAAGGGAGGAGAGGGAGGGAGGGAGGGAGGGAGGGAGGGAGAGAGGGAGGGAGTAAGGTAGGAAAGTAGAGAAGAAGGAAGGTAAGGAGGGAGGAATGGAGAGAAAGTGGAGGGAGGAAGGTTGCGGGTAGAAAGGGAAGCACAGGTATAGACAGAAGAAGGAGAATGAAGGGGAAAAGAGATGAAAGGAGAAGAAGAAAGAGATGTAAATGGAGAAGAAAATAAAAGGGGAAAGAGGAAGAGAAATGGAGAAGGGGAAAAGGATTGGTAGAACGAGTAGAAAGCTGAGGTGAACCTAGAGAAAATTGAAAAACGGAAAACAAGAGGAGAGCGAAAGACAGAGAGAAAGAGAGAGAAAAAAAAGAACTTGAGAGACGAAAAAAAAGCCCAGAGAAGGGGAGATAGAGAAAGACGTGAATAATATAAAGAAGAGGGAAGGAGTAAGGGGAAAAGAGGGGAGATGATGGATTGATTTGTCTTTTTTCCTTCGCCAAAAATGTGATCGGCCGGGAGGGAATGGCGAAGAAAATCCATGAAAATAGATTGTGCCGGAAATACGAGTAGTTTTATGTACGACCGCGTGGATATGTGAGCGTGTGTGTATGTGTGTGTGTGTGTGTGTGTGTGTGTGTGTGTGTGTGTGTGTGTGTGTGTGTGTGTGTGTGTGTGTGTGTGTGTGTGTGTGTGTGTGTGCTGCGTGTGTGTAGTTGTGGATCTGTGTGTGTCTATCTATGCGTGTGCGTGCATGTATGCGTGAGTGCCCGTGTGTGTATGTGTGTTTTTACATTTTTACGGTATGTACTGTTTCTGATAAAGTATAAGTGAAGGAAAGGGGGAGGGGCGGATATAGGAAGGTGAGCGGGGGGGGGTCCATTTTTGCAAGTAAATATACATTTTTATCTAGAAGTAAATGTACCGTGTGATTCTTCCTTGTGTGTATGGATAATCTCTCTCTCTCTCTCTCTCTCTCTCTCTCTCTCTCTCTCTACCTCTCTCTCTCTCTCTTCTCTCTCTCTCTCTCTCTTTATCTAGAAGTAAATGTACCGTGTGATTCTTCCTTGTGTGTATGGGTACTCTCTTTATTTATGTCACTTCCTTCTCTCTCTCTCTCTCTCTTTCTCTCTCTCTCTCTCTCTGTCTTTCTCTCTCTCTCTCTCTCTCTCTCTCTCTCTCTCTCTCTCTCTCTCTCTCTTTATCTAGAAGTAAATGTACCGTGTGATTCTTCCTTGTGTGTATGGATAATCTCTCTCTCTCTCTCTCTCTCTCTCTCTCTCTCTCTCTCTCTCTCTCTCTCTCGCTCTCTCTCCCTCTCCTGTTATTGTCTGTTATTTCCTCCTCTCTCCTTCTCTATTACTCTGTCTACCTATCTACATATCATCCCCTTTTGCGCTTCCTGAATTACTTCCCCCTTTTCTCCTCTCCTTTTGAAGACTTTTCTCAGTCGCTTTTCTTTCACCCCTTCTCTCTCTCTCTCTCTCTCTCTCTCTCTCTCTCTCTC